AAAAAAAAAAAATACCTCTTCGTCGTAATACTCAAAATAATATCATTTACATTAGCGATGTATAAATACTAAATAATAACAAAATTTCTCAGAATAGTGGGTTGTTACTTTTATACAGACTAGTATATCATTATATTATAATTAAACACTTTCCTGGAATATTTAAATTTGATGTGGTAAATGGTGATTATTTCGGTTCCTGTTGTGTCGCCAGTGCTTTTATCATACCGACTAAAACACATAGGTAACTTTTAATTATGCTACATTTTGGAGGATAGCAAAATCGCTAAATTTTCATAATGATAATTTTTCTAACTCCAGATCAGCCATTTTGACTTTCATTTGTTTAAATATAAAATTATCGACGAGCAGCACACCCCTATACTCGTTTTTATAACATTCTAATTATTTAGTATTCTATTGACTGACGATGATTTCATTTTTCTATTGTCAAGGTCTTACCTTACACGAGACTTAAATATAAACTTTTAAAGTTATTTTTAAATATTTTAGTGCAATACCTCTTTGTTGTGTATTTTTTCCCCCGCCGATCGATCAAAGTACAATTATTTGTTGAATCCTGTGTACCTATTATATTATGTTTGTGTAATGCGTTACATCGAATAAAAGCATATCAGCTAACTACACGCCTCCTGCCACCCTACTAACACTGCAGGACTATAGGTAATTGCATTATACGATTGTACGCATATAAGACCCGACTTAAGGTTTACAATAATATACACAAACGAGTATGGCGAACGGTCAAAAGCGAAGGTCACGGCGCAGGAGAATAATCAACAAGGACGTCCTGCTTGAGCACCAATATCACGTATATTATGCACAGGACCAATGCGATGTTCATCATCATGTCAAAGGTGTTAGACGATTTAACTGTGTCTACGACACACTTTTGTGCAGTGTTCTGTCTCTTTGTTTTTGTTGTTTTCGAAATCCAACGCGACACAGCGAGCTTTCGCGCTATAGACAGTTTCTTGCGAAATTGTCTAGACTATAGTGCCACCTATTAATATTAATGAAGTCCGAGCGCTCGACAGTACACAAACATTAATAACAGATGATGGGATACTTTGAGAAATTATAATCTTTTTGGAATATTTTTGAATATATTAACACCATTAGCACGTTTTTGATATAATAACTGTCGGTGAAAATAGAAGGGTTTGGGAAGGGGAGCTAAGACCCAACTGACGACCACTCTGCCAAGTCCCCGATTAAGGTCCTCATTAAGACGTCATTAATAAAAGTAAATATAATTGTTTTTCTACAATTTTTAAAATAAACTCAATAAATATCATTGAAAAAAAAAAACAATTATTTAAAACCGTGTTTAGTTGTGTGGTAAAATTTTTCTAAACAGTGGTACAGACATGGTCAATAAGAATTTTTGTTTCCCGTAGAAAATGTGGCAAGAGAACAATTTGACCAGAAAGTGCAATTTTTTAACACGGGTTTATGTGTTAGCAGTGTATTTTACTTAGTTTGCTTAATTTAATAATATATTAATATCAATATATTATATATATAAATAATAGATAGGTAATGAATTTAAATTATGTTAATAATCTACATCGACTACATCTCACTATATTTTAATCGATACATTTGACGGGGGACTTAAGTTTTGGTTCAGTTTTTGTACGAATAGTGAGAAAAATTAGATGAAAAATTGAATTCTGTAATAGTTATATAAATCATCCTAAAACTTATACCACAATAGTTATAACAACATTGAACTCAGCTGAAATGTGTGTAAATCTGATGATTCTAGTAATTATTTTTCAACGAATTTTTCTGTATCCGACATTCCGACAAGATATTGTATTATTGTATGTAAATTAAATACAAACATAAAAAGTCTTCAGTCGAAAACATGTATAGGCTTTGAACCGTTTTTTTGTCGTTCAACAGCCTACACCGAGAGTAAAGGAATTAAATTATACGTAAAAAATGTACAGCAGGAAAAAATCAGTTTTTTACAAGTATATTTTGTATTTATACGAAATCGTCAGTGTCGCGTAATCGTGGTCTACTGCAGCAACGCAAACAGTCAAGTGCATTTCATACCATTGTCAGTGGTATTTAAAAACGTACCCTTTTGACACTTGACAAAAGTTCTTATAATATTATGTGGGTAGTTTATATTACAACATTAATTTAGGTTTATATTATATTGTTAATTTATAGCAAATCACAATATTATTCTCTTTTATTCGGTTTTTTTTCCTGACCGAATGTTTTCAATAACATCTCAACAATATTCACTACAAGACCGTATTATTTTAGATGTCCTCAAAATGTATTGATATTTGCTAGGTATGAAGCAAAGTATTTAAATAACTAAACTCGATAGTTTCTTCGTATTTATAACTGTGATTATTGTTTTACGCTGACAATATAATATTACATCCCTAGAGCGAATAACAAGAAAGCATAGTTTCACAACTATTTGGAAACGCCAAAGGCATCCAGCAAAATCCAGTTGCATCTCGACAATCGACGGTATACACAGTTCGAATTTCATCTCTCGCGGACACGTGCATCGCAATTTGTTTTTCCGTCAGATTATACTTGGAAACTAAGAAATACGAACAAGTTTATCGTCGGATAAGCTTTTTCAAGACTAACAAGGACAATTCTATACTCCAATTCGAGTGCACGTCATCGTAGTGCAATAATTTTGAATTATTATTATTATTTACTGTTCAAATGGTCGACGCCATATAATTATCTAAAAAAAAAAAAAACCGCGACGTGTGTCGAACGGTGGCGTTCAAATATTGGGCAATTACTGCAAACGCTTTATTTAAAACATTTGTGGAACATAACCATAACAATATATAAAATAAAATATATACTCTACGCTACGCTACACAACATGCCTACGTATCTTCTCCATTTCTTCGTATACCCACGTATTAATATTATCGTCTCGACTTTACAAAATCTTAATCGATACATTACTTACGATATTTTAGCGTATTATATTCAACATACCTAGTACAATATTGTGTGAGGACTAATAATTTTACAAAAGTGGCAAAGTGGGTATCGCCCTGAATTCTGAATGCTGCATCACTGTATACGAAAAATTATTTTGCAGAACGCAAATGGTCTGTCAGCCTATATGGAGTACAGTTCAAAAGCATTTTTTTTTATATATATATTACTCTTATGATAACTTTTCTTACCATAAGTATTGCGGAAGATTGATTTGATTTTTTCCGGAAACATTACATATTTTATTATATTAATATTGATACATAATTTTAAAAATAATCTTATTTCTATCATATTAGAATATTATTGTTGTATTAAGACATTAAATGCACCGTTAATAATTTATAAATACCCAACAATACACGACGTCTCTATATTATCGTCTCCGCTACAAAAAAACTTAATCGATATTACTTACGACGTGTCGACGTTTTAGTGTGTTATATTCAATATTTAGGGTATTATAATTTTAAAAAGATGGGCAAGTGGGTACCGCTCTGATGTACAGTAGGTGTCAAGTGTGTCACTGTTATCAATGTGAAAATGTAGGTCCATTTTCCTGAAGCCCCCACTTTTGAATTTCTGAACTGAACCCGAAGCTTTCGATTGTTCTTCGTTTGTTCTTATTTGTTCCGAATTTGTTTGTTGAATTATCATTGAATACGAAAAATGATTCTGAGCGAAGATAGTCTGTCAACCTATGTCATGTAAATTGTCATGATATGTTTTTTTTTGATATTGCTATAAAAATAACTTATTTTACCATTAAGTACTATACGGAAGATTCATTTAATTTTTACCGTAAACATTGCCTTTATTGTATTACATTAATATTTAGTATTTAATTGTAATACCAAGTCTATCACATTATATGATTGTTATATAAGCCCACGACAATAGTTAGATAAACGGTGACGCTCAAATTACGTTTCCTGCAAACACTTTATTTAAAACGTTAATGACACAGTTAATAGTAATATAAAAATACTCTACAATACACAACGTGCCTGAATTTTTTTATTTCTTAGTTTACGTCTTTATATTATTATTATCGTCTCTCAACTATAAAAAAATCTTAATCGATATTACCTACTTACGCCGTTTTAGTGTATTAGATTCAATGGGGTACTAAAAAACACGGACATGCGAGCGTCGGTTCATTTATTTTTGCACTCGAATCGATTTAGTTTCGTTTTCAATTGACAATAAATGTGGGGGGAATGTTCGGATAAAACTCGGGAAATTGATTTCAAAGTTCAATTTACTAATAAACTTATTCACACTATTTTAAAAACACGTAGACGTGTTATAAGTATATTGTTACTTGTGTATTATAACAAAACGTTGTATGGAGTTTTGTTGGAAAATTGCCAATCGCCAAAGTACAACAAATCCATTTTTCACATAGCCGAATAAAAAAATGATCAATATCGTCGTGGTCTCAATTATTATGGTATTTCGTTTGTCTTCGGTATAGTTATTCGGCGAACAATAATTTATCATGTGCCGAAGCAGCGATCGGTTGTAAAAATGTTATGTTCTCTATTTCTCTAATAAATTGTGAAAACTGAAAAGTCTTTTTGGATCCCCACTTCCAAACAATAATTTCATCTTAACACTAAAATAGTAACTAAATGTAATACACGTATATATTTACAGATATAGAACTAGAATACAGTTGATGGGACTATATGCTATCTTGAACGTGTAATATTATTAATTTAAAAGCAATTATTCATTACTTATATTGTTTCTAATAATCTGATATATTTAATATTTATACAATGGTATATATGCATAGTAGAGTCTATAATTATTTTAAAGGTCTGTTTTTATCGAGATTAAAATTAACAGTCATTGATTTTTGTTTTGTATTTTTATGGCGTAACGATGGCACCTCATCGTTATTATTATTAACAAGGGAAGAGAGTTTTAGTTGTCAATTTTGTAAACTAGATGACGTTTTATTTATTTTGCAGGTATGTTATTGGCAGAAAATGGACTGCAGAATGTTCCAACACCAAACGTCGGAAATTACATCAACAACATGAGTCAGTACTATTATTATTTTTTACATAAGTATACACTATATTATTATAGTGCATTAGATTTTAGAGTGTTTTACAATAATTGTGTTTATATTATAATGCTATACGTTTCACTGCCTGGATTCGTTGATCGACAAACGTAGGTACCTATATTCTTCGAGACAACATAATATTATAAATAAAAGCAGAATCAAACCGAACAAATATTATAGTTTCTAAAAGTAATAAAATCACGAATTATAAGCACGGAATGACATTTTTAAAAAGCAAGAGCTATGTTTCAGGGTTTCAAATATATTTTGTTTTTAATGCGTAAATAATGTACTTTTTTCTTATGGTTCCACAACTGGGAAAGTAACAATATTAAGTAAATTGTGTATTGAAAGAAGTACAAATAAAATACTTGGAAAAAATATTATATTTGCTAACATATAATAAATCAAAATCTATTCAACAACATAATAGGTATACATCCAAAATAATATTAAAGATAAATTTGATTTTGCTTATCCCCTCTGTATTACTTCATATTCATTCAGTAACTATTAGATACTAAATTTTGAAAAGGTACCATCCGATATTGATTTATCAACATTCTAAAATAATTTGTTTCATTTGTTGTGCTTAATACCCAATTATTTGCTTTTCATAAAACATAAATAGAGATACCTACCACACATAGTATAGGTAATAATATTTTCTCTGTCAGCATCCCATGGTAAATTCATAATGATATAATAATGTTTACAATTATTTATATTTGATAAATATCTGCCAACCGTTGTTGTCTATTGATTAACATCCTGACTTTGTTTAATTGAATCGAACTGAATTAGTTTCATTGTTTGTACTAAAATCCCAATAATATAGGTGGTAAATTGTTACGTTTCTATCCTTTGTAGTCTGATTTATTTATTCACTTATCAAAAACAATAATCCGAAATTGTAACTGAATTAAAATCATATATTGTTTAATTTCAAAGAAATAATTAGAAAACTAAATTTATAAAAAAAAAAACAGTCAAATTTCGTGATTTAAAGCCATAACATTCAAAACCAAAAATATACATTCTGTCAACTGAAAATCGTTATGACAATATAAATATTTTTAACTCATATAATTAAACCATAGTATCTGTGTTATGCACACTTAATCACCATTAATTTAGATTATAACTTATATCTTATTATACCAAAAACAGATCAATAACTCTATTCTATAACATTATATAAGGTAGGTACGAAAACGATTATTCGTACTAAGACTTTTTAATTTAAATATTTTCACTAAATACATTTTTTACAGCGTAAAATTATGAATTTTCTAACAGTATTTTTAGTCTCCAAAGTTTGTTTATCCTTTCAAGAGAATTAAATATTAGGAAAACAATATTTATTTTACCCTATTCAAGATAAAAAAAAAAACATGTCATTATAAAAGAATATTAAATGTGAAAAAATATAAACAAAACAGAACGACCACGTGGGTCAAAAATAAATTTCTTTACTGAAATAATGTTCGTGAAAGGAAGTTTTACCTTATTCTCTCACACGTTTTAAAAACGTTTCACCGAAAAACCACTAATAATTTTCGTTGCAACTCTATGGTAATGTCAAAATCAATATTTTACTACAATATTGTAGTCCATAAGGTCTTACGCGAAGTTATTTTTATTGATATCCACGACACAATAAAATGAACGTCAATATTGTCATCTATTTTGGAGAACTATGCGTACCTGTGCACATCGCAAGGATGGTTTTTTGTATCCTCTTAAATTCCGTTAACCATGATCAAATCACTCGGGTCATCCACATATAATACATTTTATTGTAACCGTTGGCTGGTTTATTCCTATGCAATCAAAGTGTTTGTTCTCGTTCGTCCCTGTTCTGGTTTTCTATGATTTCTCCCACACATGGTTAATTCAAATTTGGCTATTCTGCGTGATTATCTATAGGTAGTAGTCAATTTACAACTACATAATTTATCGTATGTAAACAATAACTTCGTATGAGCGAACACACAAATTAGTATATGTTCGCTTTCATTAACTAAAGGTGGTGTAGGTATTCCTTGAGTGTACGATCAAAGTAAAAAATATCTAGAGACAGTAAACGACTTATGTGTTTGTAATTTTATCATCAAAATATATTCGTATAACTTTTGTTATGTTTTTTTGTTTTTCACAGTAGCTCAAATTCCACAGATAAACCGTAAGTTATCATTTGAAATTAACTAATAACCAGTACAATAGTTAATCACCTTTATAGTAAACGTAATGTTTGTATCTATTTAAAATCATATACCTACTGCTAAAACCTCCATAAATGTAATAGTTTTTATTTTTTTAACTATTGGCCCCTGGAGCAGGCGTATATAAATTTGAAACCATGTCATAAACTGTTTTCCAAAAAAACGCTTCCAAGTGGAGGAGCTCGGTTTACTTAATAAAAATTGAGATTTTGTAAAAATGTGTGCATTCTGTGTATATATAATATATTTCACAGTTTTTTTAACGATCTCAAATATCACCTAAGTGTTATTTAAACAACGACCTTTATTGTTCAACCCGTATTTCAATTTTCAATCCCCGACCTTTAATTAAAATAGTTGAGTTAAGCTTGAGTAATAAAAAAAAAATAATAGTATAAACAATTATAATATAATGCTATGATAAATTAGATTTTTTTATTACAAAATGTTTAACAAAAAAAGTCAGTATTTAATATTGTTGGTTTAGTCGTGTTTATCTTTGATAAAACCTTTTTGAAAGTCAATTATTCTGTTTTTATTAATGTCTTACAAATTTGACATGTTTGAAAATAAAAATAACAAAATACAGTGCACATTGTGACGTAGATGACCATTAGTTTAATAAAAAAAAAAGTAGTTCGTAATTAAAATGTGTTCAAATTTTTCTGAGTTTAATATTTCTTTATCCAAATGTAATATAATACACAATTTATTATAAGAAATATAGAAACCAAGTATATTGGTAAATATAATATATAAACATAATATGTATTTTTTACTTTTAATCCAACTTAATTACCAATTACTTAATAGTATTTACGCGTTACCTATGTACTCGCTGACTCACTGTGATATGTATAAATATTATATAAAGTAATATATTACATCTTCAAAACATCGCTTAGTTACATGTGATAAATGAGCTTAAAATCAATAAAATCAATCATTAAAATTAAATTAATTTCATCAAAACAAAACTTACTAACTAGTTGATAATAATATTATGTTGATTAGACTTATATGGGTATTTACGTAGAAAAGGAAAGGAATCGCGCATCAGGAACTTACTAGCAGGATTACACGACAAAACATTAAGTTAGGTCACCCATAGCAAAACATAGAAATATTTGATTTTCTAATCCTTTAGGGACACTTAAAAACCATTACTGTTGCGCGTTTCGCCCTTGTCTTGCGCAGTGTAATGATAACATATACTTAGTATATTATATTATCATAATAATATTATGACAAACAGTGTGCGATCATGGTGATTTTTATATTTTTAAATGGAAATATATGATGTATAGGTAGCAATGTTTTATTTCAATTAACTACGTATTCTCTGAAACAGGGTCATAGAGTCATTAATTTTATAGATAATTAGTAATTAGTAAAAATACCGGGTTTGAATATATTATAACACTATACTATATTATTACCTATTTAATTCCCTAGAGTGCATTAAGTATAATATATATAGGTCAACCTATATTTTTTTCACTAATATGGCTTTCCTGCGTTAATTACTTCCTCGTCGAATTAATATTCTATTAGATTTAAAACGAACGAAGAGTGGAAGAATATTTCTTTACATAATGTATTATTTATTTTCTTGATTCGAGTTAATGTTATGATTTTGAAACTTTATCCCCCGAAACAAAAAGCTTATAACTCGTGTTGATTATTATTTAAGACTATTATAGTATTATCATTTCTAAACATTCTTCTATACCTATTTATTCCATATTTCCACATAAAAAGAATCAACTTCATTCTGAACAATTATATTATGCCGGGACAGTTTTTGACCATATACAATTTTGTTTGTATTTTAATAACGTTTTTTAAATATTAATATGGGTACCTACTAATATATTATAGACAGTATTGTAAGAAAAACGTAAAATTATTGCAAAACAAATAGTTCATTAAAAAGTGTATGTGTAAAAAATTCACCAATTTAGGTACCATTGAATCTCGTCAGTCTTGCTACGTATTCGATTACATACTTGTATTTAAATCCTTTTTTGGTATTTCAGATACCTCTCAAATACTATTTGGCAAGTGTATTTTAAATACTTTAAAAATTATTTTTCTTCGTATATAAATAAAATAACGTACTTATAATTAAGTATGTACATACAATTTCAGAATACTAAGACTATACTAATACTAATTTTTCTTTTTATAGTTTTATTTCAACTACCAATACTTTTGTTTCGTATTTTATTTTATTTTTTGTAAAAATTGTCCATAAAATAATATTTTATAAAAATTCTAAGAATTTAAAAAATTTCATCAATTACGCTGATGGCACAATAGCTGAAATGTAAAATCTCTTTAGCTGAAGTTTAACTTGACCTGATTAAAATGAACCTAGTTAATAGTAATGTGACATTTGAAATTCTCGAACAAATTAAAGAATGTATTTATTAATTACTTCATTTAAATATTTATTGATAAATGTATATATACATTCGTAATAAACGTACAAATATTTCAATATATAAATAAAAGTACTTCTTATAAAGTAATTAAAATGTATTTGTATATACATTTAAATACTTTTGAAAGTCAGTATTCGAATACGTATGTCAAATGCAAATGTCATCAATGGTACTTAAGTACTTATTTGAAATACATTTGAAAATTATTATTACCGAGACTGAATATCAGTTAATTGGTTAATTCTAAAATGTTTGATTATTTTTATTTTTATTTTATCTTTGTTCTTTTAGCTCCTTGTAAACGAAAAGAAGATGCCCAACCTATTGTTCCTGATCATTCATCTGCACCTAAAAAACCACGTTTGGTCTTTACTGATCTTCAACGACGAACACTACAAGCTATTTTCAAGGTAAGTACATACCTATAAGAATATCAATAAGTTATTTTTTAAATAACATCAAGAAACCTTTGAAATATTGTATAGTTAAAAAAATACCGGTTTAAAATATTGTGAAATATTATAGTATGTTCTGTAACTCACGTTAAAATACAAAACGAACAAGTTTTAGTTTACTTAAAATACGGGGGAAAAAAAATTGGAAAACATATAAATGTCTAACATAAGCAACATTATAATTAAATACACTAAATATATTTCTTTAACGATATCAAAATTTAAAATGCTTGAAAATACAGTTTACAGTCATTATCGAGTAATGCATTTGATACAATTAAATTATTTTGGAATTTAAAGAGTAAATATAACTATTTCTTAAGAAACCTTATTGAAGTACTAACTATCTACTATGTACAGTTATTATTTATTTCTCCCTAAACATACATAAATGAAATTAAGACATAATATATTAAAGTAATGAAAAAATCGAGTACTTATAAAATCTAAAACCAAAACTTTATTGCAACAAACGGATTATTTAATGAAAATCAAAAACGTTATTAAATATGATTAAAGAAACAAAAACCATTTTTTTTTTTATAATCAAAATCAAAAAATTAAAAATTGAATGTATTTGAATTCCTTTCAGGCTTGTACATACTTGAAAATCTAACTTATTTTAACTTTGATTCCTCAGGAAACGAAAAGGCCGTCAAAAGAAATGCAGGTGACCATAGCTAGACAACTGGGCCTGGAACCGACCACGGTCGGCAATTTCTTCATGAATGCCAGGAGACGATCAATGGATAAGTGGAAGGATGAAGATCCAAAAGTAATGGCGGCATCGAACCACCACCAAGACGACATGGTAGTCAACATGCAAACAGGGACGCATATGGGTAACCACCAGGCTGAAGTGTTGTGACCAATAATTCATTAGGATAAATATAGATATTTATTCCGAAATGTTAGAGTACAATATCGAAATGTGATTTATTTTCTGGCCATATATATATATATATATACACTATAAAAGTTAATAGGTTTATTTCTTTTTTATTTACATAGAAATATTATCTCGGCATATATACTATGGTAAGGCAACATAAACATACTTCCCGATCATTTTATCCGTATTGGTTTTTTTTTATCGAAACACCTTACCACACCATAACCCTTTCCCATAATCTTACAATAATTGAAAACAAACAGAAATTATCTAAATAAGAAAAAAAAGAAATTCGATCGACTTCTGTATATCATACTCATTATTTGATGAGTATACCATATAAATGTATTTATTTATTTTTCGTAGATGTATATTTAACCAATTCTATGATACACTGTTCATTTTAAAATATTTCATACAAATGGTTAAATTTGATTTATATAAGAACAGTATATAATATTACGCTTTAAAAACTATTATATTAACTTATTGTATTTATTTCGTTGAAAACCACTTCACTGATGTTTATACAATTATTTACCTAATGATCTCTTTGCATATATAGTCATATAAAAGTATATAATATTATTAAGGCCCAACCACAACCTGCATTGATTGTTCAATCAAATCAATCATCTAGTCAAAGACCGCTCAATTTACATGAAAATTGAAAAAAACATTTTTATTAACAATTCTTTTAAAGTATATATTTTTATCGCAACCATGTGCTTTTATAAACTTTACCGAAATTTATTCCGTCATAATATTTTGTAATACCTAACATAAAAACAATAAGCAGTTATAGAAATATAGCACATAATAAAATATAGACTTTATAAATAGTTCATTGAAACGAAATAATTTATAACGAGCTTAAATATTTTTAACTAAATATTTATATTTTTTCATGAAACTGATTACCAAGTAGAAATTCTTAAAGGAATAGCATTGTTTGCGTCCGAGTTTCTAATATTAATTATATTTTAGTGATACCTTTAGCATTCCATAAAAATTATTTTATCTAGTCAAAATAGTTAGTGCAATCGACTTAATGTCAAATCTGATAACTAGTGATTTTTTTTATTATTTAATTTAATTTTAGTTATTAATTTATTATATTTTATTGTTTTTGATCCGAGTTTTATTTTGTGATTTTATCGAAAAAAAACGGTGTGTTTCAATTTATTTTTATAGTGTTTGAAGTAGAAGCAAGTATCAGACGAAATAATAATGATTAAATTGAGGGTAATTTGGTTGCTCAGAGATTGTTAACTTATTTTTTTCTTTAAAATCTCTTATGGAAAAACCAACTACCCGAATCACATGCCATTTAATTTTTGTTTTTGTCAACAATTTTTTTTTAATTATTTTTTTTTCTTCTCAACTTTTGGAATCTATATACAAATATGTATTCAACACAGCTGTGCTAAATATTTTAAAATGTCATTGATTTATATTATTATCTTTTAACTTGCGGTCGATAGTATTCCAGTTATGCTTAAAGAGCGTTTTTTCATTGTTCGATTGAAATTGTTTTATTCTCAAATAAAGGATTCAAAACCTCATTTAAAATTCAGACTTCTAAGGCACAGATTCTTAGTCTGTTGAATATTTTGTTTTTCACTTGTACATTATAAGAACCCATTAGTGTGTAGTATATTTTAATTTAAGTTTAGTGCGTATGTGTGGTTGCCTAGCCAGTAAATTATTTTTAATAAAACGAGAAAATATTAATATTATTTATAATTTATATCATAGATTTTTCTATTATGCATCCGATTTAATTGTAATAAAATAATTAATACACATGCACATTAACACGTTAAAAAAATCATTACAATCAATTATGATTAGTTGTAAAATATTGTACATATTTATACTTTATAACCTTGAGGTTACATTAAAATATGATTGTATTTTTTGGGCAATTTTCTGTGCGAATATATAAGTATCTATTTAGATTCGAACACATCTTTTTTTTAAATACTTGGCAATTTAATTATCTGTTACTTTAAATGTATTTTTAGTTGTTTAGTATTATTATTATTATATTATTATCATTATTATTATTATTATTATTATTATTATTATTATTATTAAACAAATTTATGTGTTACCTACTTTAATTTATATACCTAGTCATTTTTTTTTAGTTTGTAAACGATTTATAAATAAATATTGTATACTAAAATGTATTTTTTAAAAAACTGTTTCTAGTCTTGGAATGCTACCAATGTATTAATACTAAAAACTAATCTAGTCATGTAAAAAAACAATGTATGTTTTATACTTAATTTCATTTTTAGTGATATTATATATTATGTATTAATAAATTGTTAACAATTTTCACAAACCAAATTTTTGATAGACCAATAGACCATAAAATATATTATTTAGTTATATAACTATTGAAACATGAAAAAAAAAGATTTAAACACATTACAAATATGTCGTCATTGAAGTGTTTTATTTCACGTTTATAAAAAAAAAAATGTGAAAAAATCTTTTTTAATTATCTAAAGAAATGTCTAAATAAAATAGTGTAATAGATGTTTCTGAAAGGGATTTAACATTTTATCAGTACTTTAATAATAAAGCATTACTATAAATTCAACGGAAAAATGATTGTTGTTTTTTTTAATAAATTAAATTCAACGCATTAAGTCCAGTGCAACGTTTGAACATGAATGCAGTCATGAAAAAAAAAAGGATATTGTCCTATAACAAATGATTTTAAGTACACGTTCGGGGTTTCTTTTTTTTTACAGTGTATTGATAACTGGACTAATATGTATACGTTTATTTCTCTGGTGTATAATGCCGTGTAGTGCAGTGGTTCTCAAACTATTTTCCAACGTCACACATTATGATTAATATCAGTATATTATAAGTCACTACACACTTTGGAATACTACCTATTATAAAAAACCAGTACTTTATGACCGGGAAACACATCGTACATTCGTACATATGAATACGTAGACATCACTGGACAACCTTTGAGAGACACTGTAGTCACATTAAAAAATAAAAGGATAAGTATAATGACATCCATTTGTCCAATATGTTGTAAAAGTGTTTATATTACAATTGAATATTAATAATGCAATATTATAATAAATGTATAAGAATAAAAAATATTATATTCACACGGCGTCTTGGATAGGCTTTTTAGCTACACCACTGTCGTGAACCCATTCAACCAATATCTTATAAGACGTGTGACGTATGGTTTTTCTAAAAAACATTCATTCACCATTCAACTAAGTGACTAAGGTATAAAGTAAGTAACCGAAATTTGTTTTTAGACGGTACAGTTTTTGTGCACTAGGCATTAGAGTTTAAATTATAGTATGATTGCTGTCCAAAGTTGTTGTATATAAGTTGGTTGCATTACATATTATATTGTAGTAACAGGAACACCACTCCACACAATCTTTTCCCAATCTTCTGGACCATTTTCTACTACTTTCTCCTGGAATCCACCTCGTGGTCTGCCACTGAAGTCTAAGACGTATCTTATGTGTTTTTAGTATGACTTTAAATAGTGTATAAATTGAACATCTTTGCTGATCTATTTGTCTTCATAATGCTGACAAACTAATGTAACAAATCAATGTATTAAAACTATTGGGCTGATTGTAATATTCCCGTTTTCAGTTGTTTATATTATAATATGCTAAATGGCATCAACAACATGCCAAGTTAATGGTCAGAAGCCATAGGTCAAAAAACCATAACAAAAATACTTTCTTAAAAATTAATTTAAGTACACATGTTTCAAAAATGTTATTACTTACCTCACATGGTAAGTTAAATTATGTATGCGGCTTCTTAAAAATAATATTATAAATAACTTTACTATAATAAGCTTATATAATATTATAATTTTATATTTACCTACCACTGATTTATGTTATATAAATACTTGTTTTGTATTTCCAATAAAAGCAAATTAATTAAATTATTTATTAATGCAAAAATAAAACTGCTAGTCATTGATTACTCAGTAAAACTAAGTTGTGTTCAATTTTCCACCAAAATTTCCTTGAATAAATCTAAAAAATACTCATGTAGGTACCTATTTAACAAAAATAAAAATGAATTATTAATTGGTTTGTTTTGTATTTTTGACTGACAATTTTTTATTTTTAATAAAATAACAGCGTTTGTTATACATTTATTAAAACTCCATAGCTTATTAAATGGATTTGTAATGTATAGTTAAAAAGCCATTTTTTTGTGAATGTCCCAATCAAATTACTTATTTTAATACAACTAATAACATTATTTTTTAATTCGATAATTTTTAATTATTACATTAAGTGTACATATAATTGTTAAAAAATAGTTTTTTGGTGTATTTAAATACATTTATCTAAATATAATCATTTGGAAAAACTAAAACATTTGTTAGAACAAGTATATAAATATATATTCACAAATGAAAAATGTAATAATGTAACCTTCAAGTTAAAATACGCATTAGAAACTTAGGTTAGACGATCGATTCAACATTTTCATGGTCCATATCAGTGTTTATTTCAGATCTTCTATCCCGGGGGGGTATCGTAAATTTTCAAGGGGGTATGTCTTAGAAGTAAATAATTAAGAGAAGTGAAAATATTATTTTAAGCTCAATTTATTGGTATCAGATTGATACCTAAGAATAAATAAATTATTAATAATCTAATTTTGATTAATTATATGAAAAAAAAA